AGACTTTGGAATCCCAGACAGCACTGCAGCATGGAGCATGGGACCACTTAGAAGGCAGACTGACCAACAAAAAGCACAGAAATGCAGATAACATGACCAAGAACAGATGGGAAAGGGAGAGGCAGGCATGCTTCCTGGAGAGCTGCAAGGCTTTCTCTGCTGAAGTTCACACGGGAACGTGTGTGCTGAGCAATTCACAAATTTTTTCAAATATTTAATTTCAAGTATCTCTTCTGGGTTGCAGGAGTTCTGCTAGTACTTGCACTGTCTTCTGATGCTTTCCCAGGCACCTCAGCAGGGAGGTAGACTGGAAGTAGGACAGCTGTGACTCCAACTAGAGCTCATAGGGGATGTGGGCATCGCAGGCAGAGATTTAACCAACTGCACCAGAATGCTGGATTTTTATACATTTTATTTTTTAAAGAGTTATTTATTTATTTGCTATTCAGAGAGAGACAAAGAAAATTGGTTTTCCATCCCCTAGCTCATTCCCTAAATGGCCACAACTGCCAGGGTAGATCCAGGCCAAAGCCAGGATCTTTATCTGGGTTTCCCACACATGTGACAGAGGCCCAGACAGTTGTCCCATCTCCCACTGTTTTATCACAGACCGTTATCAAGGAGCTGGGATGCAAGTGGAGCAGCTAGGACCTGAACCGGCACCTATATGGTATGCTAGCGCTGTAGGCAGTGGTTTTACCCACCATGTTAGCCGCAAAATCTTTTCACTTGACTCATCCCCACGAGTGTTTGCAAGACACAGGGAATTGTGACTTTTGGGACTGCAAATACATTTTGGCAAGTAGGTGAATTTGTTACTGGAAGCCATGATTTATGAGGGCTGATTGCATATTTAAGTATTCTCTGTGCCCTGAGGTTATTTACCTCCTTGGCTTTGCCTGGTGGAAATAGGCTCTTACCACAGGCTGCTCTGCATTTCTGCCCAATATCTGTGTGCAGTGATCACATCAGAGCTGCTTGATATTGGCCATGATGGGAACACCTGCCCTGTGGGAAGTGGAAAATGTTACAAGTCAGGACTTCCTGTGATTCTCTAGATGTGAGAAAGTGATGAAGAAAACGCTAACCACACAGATTAAGTTTAAAACAGTATCATGTTTGGAGTCATTACTTTGTAAACATATGAAACAACCGAGGAAGTATACTTCCAGACTCAAGCACTATAATGCAACTTGGTGAAGAAGTGACTCCCTGACTTGTGAATGAGTTATGCTCTGACATATCTGTCCACTGTTTCAACTTCATCTTAATCTCTCCTTTTTAAAAAAAGACTTATTTTATTTTTATTGGAAAGGCGGATATACAGAGAAGAGAGACAGAGAGGAAGATCTTCCGTCCAATGATTCACTCCCCAATTGAGCGCAACGGCCGATGCTATGCTATGCTGAAGCCAGGAGCCTCTTCTGGGTCTCCCACACGGGTGCAGGGTCCCAAAGCTTTGGGCCGTCCTCGTCTGCTTTCCCAGGCCACAGATAGGGAGCTGGATGGGAAGCGGGGCCACCGGGATTAGAACCAGCGCCCATATGGGATCCCGGGCGTGCAAGGCGAGGACCTTAACCATTGCGCCATCGCGTCGGGCCCAATCTCTCCTTTTTTAAGATTTGTTTTTTATTGGAAAGTCAGATTCACAGAGAGGAGAGACAGAGAGAAAGACCTTCCATTTGCTGGTTCACTCCCCAAGTGGCTGCAACAGCCAAAGCTGAGTCGATCCGAAGCCAGGATCCAGGGGCCTCTACCTGGTCTCCCACAGGAATGCAGGGTCCCAAGGCTTTGGGACATTTTCTACTGTTTTCCTAGGCCACAAGCAGGGACCTGGATGGGATGTGGAGCAACTAGGACACAAACAGGTGCCCATATGGGAATGCTGATGCATGCAATGCAAGGACTTTAGCCACTAGGCTATCATGCTGTGCCCTCGTCTTAATATTTACTGCAACAAGATAACATTCATATCAGAATTATACCCTTTTGTCAATCCAACTTGGCTACAATGAAAATCAGCAAAGCCATTCTGTAAACGAATGAAATTCACAATAGCATATTATGTACCATATTATTATTTCTAAGTTGATTATATGCACCTTTCTTAGGAACATTTGTAACATATGATGCATCCATTTACAGCAAATTGGTTAAATTAGCACTTAATTACAACTATCCTCTAGTTGAGTGACCTCGGTGACATAACCCATCAATCCCCAATATAGTTAGCTTAGTAAAAAACAAACAAGAATAAATACATCTTCCTCATGAGGTTTTGAGAATTCAATGTACTGTTGTCCCCACACATGGTTCCTTGGAAGGAGCTCCTAGATCTTGGTCCCCTCTTTTCACCCATTTTCCTAGGACAACCAGGGGCTGATTCACTGTCCACACACACTTGTATTTCCCACTCTGCCATAGTGGGCCCCTGAGAACTAGTTATTGGGCTTAAGCAAGTTCTTTACCTGCAATGACCACTAGGTGGCAGGAGCAAGAAGCCTTTGATGGCTTTCGTCTTCCAGACAGTATAACTGTTTTGAAATACTGTACCATACCTTGCCTTTGAAACCTGCATCAAGCAACAGAGAAGATAAATGAAATGTTTAAAATCCACAGTCACAGGGTGCTGTCCAGAGAATGCAGGTCTATTGATCAGTGTTGGTAGCCTGAGAAACATGTTCTAGCTCAGAGACCTCTCTGGGGAGCTGCAAAAGGGGCAGTGCTTCATCTTTGGCAAACCCACTTGCCTTGTCTTCCTGGACACATGCAGTGCTGTGAACACTGCTGGCTACTCCATACCTTCCATAAAGAACCTGGTCGACCCACGCATGTCTCACTTAACAAGGAAGTCTGACAAGAGCCCCCCTCCCGGCCCTCCATCATCAGAGCCAACAGTTCAGAGTTCCCTGTAATGCACAGGTAACATGCATTCACCGAGACTCTTCTGGAAAGTGGTGAAATCAAAATTCCACTGGCAGCAACTTCAGCAGAGCTGCAGGGGGCTCCGGACTGAAGATAGCAGGCTGGTCTTCCAGTGTACCTCAACCCCAATCACCAATGCCCAGCCATGGTTATTCTTGGAGGGGCAGCTGCTGATTTCTTTTGACAGGAGTTAACACCTTCTCTCTGGAGCCTTTGCCCAATCTTCAAGGTTTCACCTGTAGCACAAGTGAGACTATCCACTCCCCCAATGAAGTGACCTCATCTACTAAACCCACAGGTTTCCCAATGTTTAGTCCCACCCTTGAGAACTTCTGAAATCATTTGCTCCTGAAAAGCCAAATGCTAAACATCACCCCTGGAGAACTCCAATAATAAAAAGTCTGCTGGATTAGTTTTCTGTCTGCATAGAATTTGTAAACATGGATTTTTATAAGAAAGTTGTTGACTGTAAACATGACTGACTTAATTTAATTCAGCCAACCTGTTTTACTTTCTGATGTCTTCATTCATTGCTTTGATGCATGGTACCTGTGTTAGGCATCTGGCAAGATTCTGGTCACTTTAATGCAATCTTTTGAAGCTAGTCCAGGATGGAGCGATACTGAGCATAAAATATCAGCTTCTTGTAAAGTTGGGACATTTCTCCTCATCTGAAACACAACAAAATGTTACCATGTGTCATGGAGGGTAGTAAAGGCAAAGTGGGTTTTAAGGCCTTCCACCACAGCGGGAATTCCTAGGGGGTCTACTAGGTAGTTTTCACCTATCGAGCAAGCATGCTTCAGATCACCAAGCAATGCACACCAAAGTCTTCATGATAATGATTCAGAACGAATGAAAAATGACCACCAAAATACTGTTTTTTTTTCCCTCTGTCTCCAGAGTTTATTGTGAATTTTCATTTTTGGATAACCAAGCAGCTCTTTAAGGAGAATGCACAGAAGAGTCATTCTGGCACTTTTGGGTAGTACATAAGAATCTTCCTAACAGTCACATCCAGTCCACCTGCTCTGCCTCTGCTCTCGGGGTTGGTGAGTAAGGTCAGCCCATGGGATTCCGGAGCCAATACGTAACCGTATATACAAACAGCCAGAGAGCCTGTCGTGGTGGCAGGTGGCCGAGGGCTGGAGTCGGGAAGGGCATCTCTAACTGTCCTCTCGTCTATCGCAGCTAATAGAACCCACAGGACACACGGGGACTAGACAGCACACTGCATGGAAATGGGAATGCTGAGCACAAATGGCACTTGGCAGCATGCAGTTGAAAGGTGTTCCTTTGATCACGTTATAAAATCTAGGCAGTTCAATCCAGAAGGTAGAGGAAAAAGACCCCAAACAAACAAAAAGTGAGGGACTGTCTGTTGTCACTGTAAAAAAGGCACTTGGAGTTAATGGGACCAGAATTGAAGGACTCTGAGCTGATACAGATTTCGGTAGGATTTCACTAACAAAGCCTGGGTGTCCAGAGATGACACTCAGGGGCTCCTGAGGGGAGACACCGAAACAGAACCGCTGAGAAGCTGAACAGGTTCAAGTGAAGGAATCAAACCCTTACAACCAAACTGTATCACAAAGATAAACGCAAACCCCCATACAAAACCTAACCAGAGCCAAACCTAAGCAAAAGTAAGACAATAAAGCAGCGATGCATAGCTTTCCTCGGAGACACTAAGTGGTAACCTAATTTCTCAATAACAGCTTCACAGTAGCATCGTCGTGATAAAACCGACTTGAGCAATGCAAAGAGTCTCATCTGTTTCCAGAATCTGAGGGAGGAATGAGGTGATTGGTAGAGCGTTAGCGACACCATGCGTGGGTTTTTCAGCGTCTCGGGTGGTGGACCCGTCCTGTCCGGCCCGGAAATCGGGACGTTTTTCCGGCGACCTCCCTGGAGGTGAGGTGTCCCTCGAGGTTATCCTGTATTCTGATGTGGTGGGCGGCTTTGAACTCTTTCTCACGTCCGCAAGGCCAACAGGAACGCAGGGAGCGCCTGCCTCCCGCAGCCGCTGCTGCTCCACTGCCTCCACACGCAGGCGTGCGCTTCCACCACAAAGGATATTTGGCAAAATTTGCTATTCCACAGCTGGGTGGCTCTGCGGCAGCTCATTTAATGTTAAATGCCATCAGGGGCCTCTCTTCTCGCTTTTGCCAGGGGCTTTTCTTGTCTTCTCCTTGGTCGTCGTCCTCGTCGTCCTCATCCTCTTCGTCGGCAGCAGGCCTTCTCGGGCGGGGGCTGCCTGGTGGCTCTGGGGGCGCGTCTGCAGTTCGTTTGGTCGTCTCTTCCTGCAGGCTGGGCAGCTGGCCTCCGCTCCTCCTGCTGGGTCCTTCCAACAAGCACCGCAACGCGCTGTCCTCAGGGGTGCACACCGTGGTGCCTCCCTCGCTGCCGCTCTGGTCCATGTCGTCCAAGTACACGAGCTGCGTGTAGGCGGTGCCGTCTTGGGCGTGGGGCTCTTTCTGCTGATGCTCCTGGACCGGCGGGTGGTTCTGCGGGAGGGGCAAAGGGTCTCCCCTTCCCTTACGGGCAGATTTTGGTTCGTTCATATCCACGCCAGAGTCCAAACTGGCGTCGTTACTTCCGTTCCTTCCAGCTCTTTGGAGATCAATGTAAGAGTGTCTAACGTGAGCATTGGACCTTCCATCTAGGGAGACGAACCACGCTCGTGGGTGTGGGAGCGGCTTCCCACCGCCCAGTTCCAGCAACGCCTTCTCCGTCAGCAGCTGCACCTCACTGTTCATCTGAGCGAGAGCCGCGTCGTTCAAGGATGCCGGGATGGACAGAGACTCGGACATGGGCGCGTTCTGAGGGCTCCACTCCCGGGTGCCTGCCTCCTGCAGGTGCTGCTGTGAGATGGCCTGGGAAGACAAGGGCTGGCCCTGTATCTGGGAGGCGGGATGGGGGAAGACGCCAGTGTGCGGATTTGCGAGCTGAGCCTGGAGTCTCTCGATCTCCAGCTGCTGGTCGGCTGGAACCGCCAGAGGCTGGCTGACATAGGAATGGTCCCCTGGGAGTTTCATGTAATGGGCAGGGATGACCAAGGCAGGCAACACTTTTCTGTAAACACTGTCATTGACCTGGTCCACAGAACTACAGCAGATCAACTGGCCCGGCCGTGGGAAGGATGTGGGCCTCTCCAGGTGGTCCACCGAGCGTGACATCATGCACTCGTTAGCTCTGCGGTCCAGCAGCTGCTCTTTTTCAGGAGACGCTGGCGCCGGATACATGTGCTCCTGCATGGCCATCTTGCTTCCTGCCATCGAAGGACCATCCCGCTCCTGCTTCTCAAACAAGGGCTGTGAGAGCATGGCCTTGTAACTACCTCGGTAGTCCTCCTGGCCGGGGGACTCGTAGCCCTCTCTTTCTGCAGACTTCCTGGCCTTCAAGGGGAAGATCTCCACGGACTTCTGGTAGTCCTTACCCAGGGTCCCGCTGGGCGTCAGGTTATCCAAGGAGATCTGGCTTTTCTCCTCTTCCTTGTGAGAGAGCAGCTCCTCCCGGGAGCTGAACTCCTGTGAGGTGCTGTAGGAGAGCTTCAGCATGGGTGTGTGCAGGTCCCCTTCACCGCTGGGAGACATCATGTCCAGGTGGACCCCACTCCTCAGCTCCTTGGTGCCTGGGGCCTCTGGGCGGCCATGGCTGGCGACGGACAGCGGCCCAGGGAATTCTGACGCCCGCCGAGAGAACAGCAAGTTGATGTGTGACATCGATGTGGACTGATCTCTTTTGGAACTCTCGAGGGCCGCAGGAAGCTGGAGTTTTCTGTGGTGCTGACGAGGTTTCAAGCACTTCCTCCTGCGTCCAAAACAACAGTGCAAGCCCAGAGATTACAGAGATTCTCACCGTGGAAAAGTTTCAAATCCCATGGTAAGAGCAACGCAACTAGTCAAGCAGCCCGAAGACTTCTCACCCTGCTCCCGTACCCTTATCTTAACCTAGAGCAGTGTAATCCAGGGGTTTTCATAAGCATAGCCAAGTTACTCATTCAAAAGGAGCCACCCGAGAGGTGACAATGAACATTCTGGCAAATTCAGCAGGCTTGGCATCCAAACGAGAGATTTTCTGCCATGGCCTGGAAAGTATCATCACTTTTAGCCAGTGTTCACGAAAATACTGAATGCCTTGAATCACAACTGCCAATTTTTTTTTAATAGTTCCCCTGCTAAGCAATGTTCTCTACAGTATCAACCTTGCAATATCCTTTCTGTTCATTTTCAACTTAGATAACAAATATGAGTTCATGGATATCATTGCAAGAGAAAAAAAGTACCTCGATTTAGAAAAAGATAAGAAGACCTCCACACCAATGCTTCTAAATATCAATTGCACAAGAAATTCTAAATAATAAAAAAAGACATCGCCAAAATGGTAACACATTACCTGCAATAATATAAAAGGAGACACAGCAAAACCAAAAGTATGAAAGCCATTCCTCCTAAAATGGCCAAAAGAAACACCGTGTGATACGTGGTAATGTCCGGTGTTACAACGGGACCTAGAAGGTCAGAAAATGGCATTTTAGATGTTTGAATATTTTTCAATAAAAGAGGGGTAATCAGTTGAGAATGTCACTTTTTTTTTTCTTACTTTTCCCTGCTGAAGCACAGAGCAATGGATAAATGAAACACCCTTAGGATGAAGTACTTCTGGCTCCACCTTTTCATTCACAAGCAATACAACTGTTAGGGAAGCTTCATCGGCCAGTAGCACTTTAATACCAAATACAAAATGCTGTTGTATCAAGGGGACCGCCTCGAGCTGAGGGGTAAGCCTTACTCAGTGACATGGTCAGTGTTCTATGTGCATGATATTCTGAAGAAAAGCAAATGAATACATGATGATATGAACAAGAGACTCATATATTCAGAGATGGACTATCTGGGAATTTTAGAAGGCAGGTAAAAAACAAACCCACAAGATTTTATTCTCACTTTTCATGGGAGTCAATAATAACTGGGAGCCTCTTGCCTAAATAAGTCAATTTAAGTGTATAGCATGAAGGCATTATTTTAAGAAGCTACCAACTTAGTAATGGTTGCCAAAACTGGTGAAGAACGCACTCCATTTTTTAATATAAAATGCTTTTTCTAGTAGGGCCAATCTTACATAGCCTCAGAATTTACAGATCATGTCACTACAACTTAAGATATTTTTTCATTTACATTGTAACCACCACCAGAAATATTTAATTCATAAATGTTATATTCAATGGTAGTACAGATCTTCCTTAAATCAGACAGATCAATACAGACAGATCAGTGATAACTAAAACCTTGCTAAACCACATCTGGGCAGCTGTTGGAGCCTGCGGAGCCTAGCAGTGTAGCAGTTATGTGGGATGGAATGAACTGTGGTTTCACAGCATTATTGCAGAGTAGTATGATTTTGATGAACAAATATCCATTTGTTTATTTTTGATGTTTTAAGATACAGATTTTATTAAAAATGATTTTAAAGAATTAGATCCCTTAATTTTAGAGTTAGAGAAAAATTAACAGCATTTACTTGGAGGTTTAATATGGACATCCACTAAGTCCAAAAGGGAGCTCTTTTCTTGTCTACATTTAGTTACCTACAGTGGTATGAGGAAGGGTTAATGTTTACAAACACTGAAAACTAATGACTCTGTGTAACACCCTGGTTGTTTAGAGAAATGAGACAAAGTCAAAATCTTGTCAGGAGTCACCAAGAAACCAGGGTTACAACAAAACGACCATTTCCAAAACACTAAAGCTTGGTCCTTTAAGTACTCAAGAATGTTTATATTTTAATCTTTGCAAACAGAACTTTTTATAAAACTCATAGCTATACCTCCCTTTATTTTTAAAAGCATTAAAGAGCAAAATCCCTATTATTTTCCCACTGCTTCTGGGTTCATGAGAGCACTGCATCACTGTGACTGTGTTAATACAGTAATGGCCGGGAGGTTGCCAATGTGTGGCTCATCTCCACGTTAAATACCACTGGGGCTGTGTGCTGTGTTTGCCTGAGTGAGTCTTTTCCTTCTAGGAAGCTCCTAGGGGATTGTGTCTGCCAGTCCCATCTTCCTTGTTTACAGAAGCTTACAGTAATCTGTGGTATGATGGCAAAGTGGATGGCCACAGTTGTTTGAAACGGATCTAAAATAAAAGTTTGCATGAGCTTTGTGGCCTCTAATTTGATCCTTGAAGAATTTCCTTTTCCTTCCTTCTCTTTCTCCTCGTAGTCACAGATATTTCAGATGTTGAGAATGGAACATTTCCGTTTTTGGCTCATGCTTATAACACGACCAGAACAATACCATCAAGGGACGTGCTTACGCCTAAAACGCAGATGTGAAGTGTAAATTTTCTCAGGATGCGATTATAATGTCAATGTGACAGATTTTTCCACACCCTGCTAGGAATGGTCTCCATCAAAGCAGTTACTTTGGGAGTCTTGAGTGTTAATTCCAGTGATAATTCCACTGCTGAAATAGCTTGAACTTTTATTTTGGAGCTGCATTCATGGTTAATTTATGAGATACCTTTTAATCATAGCACATTTTGATTTAGCTCAATTTCCTATGTTACGTCCCAAACTTGGATGCACATGACTTTTAAATGTGAAAAAAAAAAATCAGAAGCTCCCTCTGAGCATAAAGATTTTCCACCGATGAAGAGACTTGCTGACAAAAAAGAAATTCTAAAGGCATCTTGGTCAGCAGAAGCCACCACCGGAAATCATTCTCCTGAGATAACTGCTTTGGAAATAATAATTCTGAATACTTGTTGGGTACAGTTTTATTTAAAGTAAGTTTTAGTCAGTTCTGAAATGCGTGCGCTAATTCATATGTAACACATAGATACTATAATTTTGGACACAAAGCAGCTGGTTTGCTTTTCAAGTCTTCTGGAAATGGCAAGCCAAGTTTTTGCTGTATGAAACCCCTGCTGTGGACTCGGTGCAAGTTCCTCTGTTGAGTTTTCTCCTTTCCACGTTCCCTCACAGCTGTTTCAGGAATTAGGGAGGAGGTTCCTGGCCGCCTCCGTGGGCTTTTGAATAAGAATTCCTTGTGGCAGCTGTCTGAGCAAAACGGGGGCTTGAGATGAGACTATTTTTTCTACGCATTATTCCGATCCTAGATGGGAGCGCTCCAATCTGAACTCCTCCAACTGCCATAAAATAATTCTCCTCATTATCTGATTTTTAGACTTTAAAACATTTTTGAGAAAGACATGTTGCCCCTGCTGAATCAAAAGCATACTTAGCCCGTGCTCTCTGAGACAACAACCCCGGGGTCGTATGGCTTGGCTCCATGTTACCTGGGATGGGAGGAGACATGGCTGCCACCCAGTAGCCCAGCTGCGGGGCTATGTACGTCCACGTCAGCTGGCTGCCCTCCTGATGCACGAGGCCCAGCCCACTCTTCAGCCACGTTCCTGTGAGAGTCAGAGAAGAATGTCAGCCACATGTTTGTGAAACTCCCACAAAATACTTAAGCATGTTCTTTAAGTCATCTTTTTTTTTTTTTAAGATTTATTTTATTTTTATTGCAAAGGCAGATATACAGAAAGGAGGAGAGACAGAGAGGAAGATCTTCTGTCCATTGAATCACTCCCCAAGTGACTGCAACAGCTGGAGCTGAGCTGATCCGAAGCCAGGAGCCCGGAGCCTCTTCCAGTTCTCTCACGCGGGTACAGGGTTCCAAGGCTTTGGGCTGTTCTCGACTGCTTTCCCAGTCCACAAGCAGGGAGCTGGATGGGAAGTGGGGCTGCCAGGACATGAACTAGTGCCCATATTGGATCCTGGCACATGCAAGGTGAGGACTTTAGCCATTAGGCTATGCAGGGTCCTCTTTAAGTAATCTTAAATGTCATGTTTATAATCTACTTGATAGCCCAAAGAGTCAAAGGGTCAGCCAGGGACTGTTCATAGCTTCAGTTTTTTTTTTTTTTTTTTTTAATTTCCTATCAGGGAAAAGGTGAAAACTTTTGTTTTTTCCTTGTCTTCTTAATTAAGTTACTGGCTCAATCCAGTGCTGTTTATACTCTTTTTTTCTCCATCAAGTAGTAAATCTCCTATCCTGACTCACAGACCAGTGACATCACAAGTTCTTAGGGATGCAGTTTAAAATATAGGGATTTCTTGATCCCATCTTTGCAAATTCTGACCTAGTAAGCCTGGCTTAAGTGGGGTATTTTAAAAAGCTTCCAGTAGGTTCTGATGCTAGGAATCACCAGAGAAGTCAAATTTCTGCTGTACTCTCAGTTGTGTTGTCTGCTAGAAGGGAACATGAACATATCACAGCATATGCACTTAACTGGAACTCTCAAAACAGCCATACAGGGAAAGACTTATTTGTTCCTTTTGGGATGAGGGCACTGAAGATTGGTCTCTTGGTGGTAGAGGGCTGAGCAGCAATGGAACCTAGGCCCGTCCAACCTCAAGACCAGTGCCTACTGCTGCTGTACTATAATGTGTAGCTTATACACCTTTCAGACATCCAATTATGCTGCTGTTTCTAGGAGCAGATCCACCAATGAAAGTCAACCTGCCCACAGCCGTTGAGCTGATCTCATTCAAAAACAGATGCCTTTGAAGGGACTTGTCTTGCTCATCTGCAAAGGACCTTGCTCTGAGGCCCATGATGATGGCAGTTGTGCATGAACAGCAAGGAAGAACTGGGTTCTGCTCGCTGGGAGCTTGAGTACATACGCACACTGCCATAGAGTTCAGCTGTGTATACTGACTGCTGCTCAGCTCAACTGGCTCCTGTTATCATTCATCAGCCATGGGTGGCACTCAGAGCTTATGCGGACCAAGCATGAACCAACCACATGATTCCCCAGGTCTCTGAATGCTTACCCTTCCTAGTTACATATATTACTGAGCTGCCAATTGTGGATTTCTTTTTCTTGTCCCTGAAGGAAAAAAGGGAAAAAAGAAGAAAAAGAAATACTCAGGCTGCTCATAGGGCTCACTGGTTGCCACGGCAACATTCAAATGCAGTAGGTAGGAAGGTGCCCAAGGTAGAGTGGGAGACACAAGGGGCCCCTCCTCCCCTGCTCCAGCTGCAGCTACACAAAGAAAGAAGAACCAGGCAACCGCAAGGGCTTTGCACTCTTGGCTTCCTCATGCAACACTGGAAGACAGCACTATTTTGTTGCAAGTTGGGGCAACCAACAAGGGAAAGGTTTTTAAAACGGGTATGAGATCAGGGACGCACTATTCAGATTGATTTCCTGAAGCACATCAGTGAAGAGAGTGCTTACAGGTTTAGGAGGAAACAGAAGACACATTAGGAAAAAGAGTTGGTAGGTTGGTGGACAAGAATGGATTGTTTGCCATGATTTCTAGCCCCTGTGTGGTCTCCTTCCATTCAGATCATGACTAGCATACCACGTCCACTCCCACACGCACTCCCACAATAGCAATGCTGTCAGGATGGTGCGTCAGCCAGGAAGAGGCTGTGCATTCTTTGGTTTGCAGTTTCCCCCAGATTAGATTCTTGAGTCACTTCTGTTCAAATGAAACGGATACAAGGTTGGCCTAATCAGCACCCAGAGGATAAGATCTGTGAGCTCAGCAGGAACAGGAGGGAGCAATAGGGTTGAGGCTGGAAAGGAGTTTAGTGTCCTTCTGTAAAGGGCTTTGAATCCCACCTAAACTGGGAGGCCACTGGTGACCTGCCCACAAAGGCACAAGGTTGGCACCTTTCCTAACATGTGTCCGTCTGCACTCCTCCCTCCTCAGTGTTTGCCAGGCCAATCCTCACATCACATATTTACCCATGTGTGACTTTACCTGCTACCATTTTGGCTTCAAGTGTATGTAGCATTTCTCTTTTAAAAATCTACCATCTCTCTAGACTCAAACAACACCTTCTAGTATGTATGCCTCTTCTAGGTTTCAGAGCTCCCAGGGGACAAGCACTATGGCATCATCACTTTCCCCAAAACATGCCTGCCTTAAGGTGCTAACCTGTTGTTTCAGTTCTGATCTCCTTTACTAGACTGCATACTATGGTGAATGTGAGCATGTCTCATATTCCTTTTGTCTTCTTCTCAGCATCTGTGAAGATCCATAATGTAGGAACTCAAAGTACTTTTGGCTGAGTGATAGCTAGAAGCACAATCCACGGGGCATCATCAGGTTGCCTTCTGTGAGACGCTGCAGCTGGTGGGAATGCATCTCCACAGAAGCATGCTAGCTTTGGGATGCTACTCTTGCTTTGGAGCATTTTCTGTAAAAAGCGTATAAACCCAGTGACTCGAGTGTGATAGTTTTGGTATTCAACAGTCATGTTATTCCTGGCAAAAGCATTTCTAAGCTTTCCATGCTTTGTGGGAGGAAATAAACAACAGGGATTATAAGGATTAATGAATTGTGTACTAGCAACATATGTTTCTCATTCTGGGAATCCTGAAGCTGCTGTGGGTTGAAGCCAGTTTCTGCACCTGAGTGGCAGACACTCACAAGGCACACTGTGCTTATGGCTGGGACTCTACGCTGAGATCCTTTAGTGTGATCACGCATCAGGGTAAACACACCTCAAGCACTGCTACTAAGGTTCTGGACTGTTGGAGTGACCCACGGGGTTTTTTGATAAGAGTACCCTTGCTGTGTGCGTTGGCCTTGGGCACTGCTCGGATGTCAGGGTAGCTTCTGCCACACAGATGCAGAGGAAGCTCCAGCTGCAAGACCTCTGGCTTATTATTGAGTTGCCCTACTTACCTACAACCCGGATGGCTTCTGGGGCAGCACACCTGTCCAATGGTTGACCTTCTCTCCTCTGTACTCCCATCATCTAGCTGCAAAGCTGCTTCCTCACACTACCTCCTTCTGGGCTTCTCTGTGTCCTTCCTATGTTTTTGCAGTCTCTCCCTATCGCTTCGTTGGTGGGGTTCATTGTTGCTCTCAGGATCTAGGACATACAGAGCTCCAGGTGGGCTCTTCTGGTGAAGGCAGGCAGGTAGAAGCCTTGGCTTCCTCAAGCCCTGCCCCACTGACCTTAGCTAGTTGGCTGGGCTTCTTCCTGCCAAGCATCACAGCTGAAGCTGCACCAACCTGGCTGCTCAACAGCTATCTTAGCAGTTGGCTGAGTGATGATACACACCTCTTTGTTCTAACCAAGGCATGTGGCCAATGTCTATTATTGAAATCACACGTGTATGATAGTGACCTCTCTGGTAGCAGCAACAATGACACTGTGCATTATAGAAACTTTCACATTGTCAGTTTTAAAATGGGTTTTAAAGCATTAGACAATAGAGAGAAGGTGTGGGGAGGCGAGGAGAGATACAGATGTTTCCCATTTCCTATATGTTATTTCACGCCTCCAAATGCTTGCAACAGTTAGAGTTAGGCCAGATCAAATTCAGGATACAGGAAACTCAACCCTGTTTCCCGTGGGAGTGGCAGGGACCCAACTACTTGAGCCATCACCTGCTGTCTCCCTGAGTCTGCATTAGAATGGAGATTAGAATCAGGAGTGGAACCAGGGTTGAACTCTGATTGATAGGATTTGCAAGAGTCCTAAGCAGCGTTTTATAGGTTAGGCCAAACTCCTGCCTGTCTTTAATGGAATCTTAAGTAGGAGCTAGTTCATGAAACAGATAAAAGGGAAGTTTCAATGGCATGAAGATAAGAGAAATACCACTCACAGCAAGCCCTTAATGCCTCCTAAACATGGTCTGGAGTGTGATACAATTTGTAAAGGTGGTTCCATAAAAATGCTAAGAAGACTCCCTCACTTTTGGCTTAAACTGAATTCAATTTTTATTTTTCTTGATAACTTAAGGTTATGACTATGGCCCACTACAGCCTACTGAGGAATGTAGAATCATCTGTCCTTAAGCAAAATCGCTCTATCCACCCTCCCGTGTGTTTCCCTTTTCTTTCTTTCTCATGGCCTACTGTTAGTAGTCCTGTTATCAGCTTAGCTCCTCATCACCACCAACCCTAATGACTTCACCAACTTCCCAGCTGGGACAGTCTGCTGCCGGGAATCAGAGAGCTCACATTAGGAAAACTGAGAGTGTGCAAACAGGCAGTGAGAGGGACAGAACAAAGCCAGCCACTGGAATGTTCTGAACCCACATTCAAGACATTGTCTGAACTATTCTCTAGATGTAAGCCTTCTACAACAAGACGGTTCAGAGATACCTTCAAGAATAATTTGTTGAGACATCTTCCTAATCTTTTCAGAGTGACTAAGTTATATATTCAACTGGCAAGTGTTGATAAAGTTCTTAATTTAGAAGCTACCATTTAACTTCAGTGATTATCACATACAGCAACTGATAGGCAGGAAGAGATGTATCTTCTGTTTGTCTGTAAGTTCTGGTGGGGTCTCCTAGCAGTCACCAAGGGTGAAGGTTTTGTGCTTGGTTTCCAAGCAATAATGATGTTGTCTTTTATGAGCAAAATATAAAGATTA